GGGGGGGGGCAACTATCAGCCGATAGTTCCTCGACAGAAACACTCTACTGTTTAAATAGTGCAAATAATCATGTAAGTGATTGCTAAAAGGCGATTGCGTGATATTCGGTAAGTTGTAAGATGACATACGTTACCATGTATCAGAAGAAAAAACAGTTCAAAATTTTCAGTCTGCATTCTGTACCCAATCTGCAGTCTGCAGACTGCATTTTGTACCTATTCTCCATTTTGTACCCGGTTTGCAGTCTGTATTTTGTACCTATTCTGCATTTCGTAGCCGGTTTGCAGTCTCTATTTTGTACTGACCGATAGCCAAAATGTGAATTCTGACCATTTACCCGACGTCAACCTAGCAGTTCAAAGTAATACCAAGTACTTTAAACTGTATCTGGGAGTTACCAATTGGAAATTATCTTCAAAACTTGTTCAAACGCAATGTATCCACGACTTATTCACAGTTGCCTTTGATTTGTTTTCATATGATTCACTAAGCCCTTCTGTGAAGACAGCTGAAGTTCATGAATATTCATGACATCAAAAATAGTATAATGTCGAGTCCTCATCTTTCCTTATTTGGTCTCATCTTTCCTTATTTGGTCTCATCCCTCTGTAATTTCCAAATGCACGCATTTTTTGTTGTTGTTAAACACCTCGCTTTTCCCAAAGGAAAAGTATATATTTAACGCCCTCAAACAGATTAAGAAAAAAAATGGGAAATCAGTTAAACCGCTAAAAAAGAAGGGAAAAAAATGACATAGTGAGGCTAAGGGTCAGCACCAACTTTTTCCTTTCTAGAAACGACATGGACTAAAATGTTATAATGTGACACTTGGTAGCAAAGGCTATTTTAAATCATTTGGCAATCAACATGAAAGGTCTCATTGTTTTATTACAATAGTTGTCTGTCTGCATATTGGTTGAAATAAGTTGAGAATTTTGACGCAAGCCCCATAACACTGGAGATAAAAAAAAAAATAAAAGAAAAAAAGAAAAAGAAAATGCTATAATTTTTACCTATATTGGGTCGGATTCACCCTGACTGTGCACAGTCTTTTGTTTTCCATCGCCAACTATTGTGGCCAAGCGCCCGCGTAACGTAAGCGGTTTGAA